TTGAGGAGCTTGCTGTGGAGATATGTTTCCGATTCATAAACCGAATGTCTCACCTGATGACTGTAGACACATTTGAGCCCCCAGAACCATTCAAGGGTTGCGATTAAAAAATAAAAAAGATTTTAGAATTACGTGTATAATATCTTATTGTGTGAATGTGTAGTTGAAAATGAATATGTAGAAAGAAGAGTTCAAATAATGGTCAATCATGCTATATGTACATCTTTGTTGTCATTAAGTTTGATATTGTTGTAGTGTGACGGCTCTTCACAAATTGGTATCAACAACACTTTAAATAATCAATTGCACAAATTTGGACGACATATATTATAGAGGTGTCGAACTTAATGAGTTAGTTCTTGTATGACTTCCATTATTTGAGATTATAATTTTTGGAATGATTTTTTTTTTTAAATGTGTTGTTAAAAGGAAGGATTTTTTTTTTTTAGATTTACGTGTAATATTAGTTTATTGAAAAATATAGTTGATAAGAAGAGAAATGAAAATGAATTACAATTTTAATGGGGTTAAACAATTTCTTAATGTAAATGTCTATAACCAGTTTAATCCAATAATGATTGTCAAATACAGGCTTATTCTTGGACACTAGGTTGGGCCAGTCACTCTGGAGATGGGCTTGACCTGGTTCAATGGACCTGCCCTGGCCCGGGCTGACTTCGTGTCAGAACAAATTTTGAAATTCAAAAAATTAATCTAAACTTTTAAATTACAATTTCCGACTCCGCTGGGGATCGAACCCAGAATCTCTGGTTCCGTAGACCAGCGCCTTATCCATTGGGCCACGGAGTCTTTTTTATTCAACACGTTTATATATTTACTTAAGGAAAGTATGTATTTAAAAAAACATAAAGATTAACTTCATCAATCCTAGTTGGGTTTATATAAACACGTTTGCAGTGTGTATATAATTTGTTCGTTTTCTCTATATAACTATATTGCGATACAAAAAGAAAATGTATTATTTAAGTTATAAAAACATAAAGATTAATTTCATCAATTATAGTAGGGTTTATAACTTTATATGAACACGTTTGTAGTGTGTTTATAATTTGTTCGCTCTCTCTATATTGCGATATAAAAAGAGAACGCATTATTTAAATTATAAAAACATAAAGATTAATTTCATCAATTCAGGTAGGGTTTATATAAACATATTCGTGGTATATTAATAATTTGTCTCCTCTCTCTATTGTTGCGATATAAAAAGAGAACATATCATTTGAATTATTATAATTTTGAAAATAATATTATTAGAAATGTAAAAAAAAATTGAATTAACTAAACCCCTGTTTGATGACCATTATAAAGAAAAATTGGGAGAAAATGACATTTTGAATATTAATTTTATGGAGAATGCGTGATTAAAAAGTAATGAAAAGTTTTAAATTTACATACAGAATATTTTATTGTGTAAATTTTTGGTTGAAAATACGTATAAGAATTGAAGAGTTTTGAAATAAAAATTGTCAAAAATGAGCTAAATTCCCAAAAAATCTGATTTAAGAATTTTTTTTATTAATCACTTAATTTGATTGGTCCTAATTTTTATTTATTACTGATTGAGAAAATTACCAAAAATCAGACATTAAGTTTAACCTTTTAAAAAATCAGGTTTTCAAGTTTTTTTTCATTTATCAGGTTTCTTATCTTTAAAAAAAAAAAATTATCATTTTAATTGAATAATTAATCCTTTAAAACCTAATTTCTCAATTCATTCCCACACAACCCCCATCCGTCTCTCACTCTCACTCTCACTCTCACTCTCACCGTCGCCGCCTCCTCCCCTTCTTCGTACCTTCTCCTCCTCCCTCCTACTTTGTTGGAGCGTCGACGTTGCTGTGTGAGCAGCGTTCGAACGTTGCTCACAACAGTGTCCACACTGCTCACATACACTGTTATGAGCAGCGTAGCAGCGTCGTTGATGCTGCTACGAATTGATGGCTGTGACGCTGCTGCGACTTGATGGGCTGCTGCTCCGATCTGTTGGGGTAGGTGTGTGGCTGTTTGGCTCAGCGGTGGATTTCGGGATTAAAAATGGGCTGTGATGGTGGCGGGTTGGGGTTTTTTGTTCGGTGGTGGTTGTGGTGTGGAGATCTGTGTCGTCGGTGGGGATGGTTGTCTGGTTTTGAAAAATGTCGCAGATTTGGGGATGCGTGGTTGTGGTGGATCTGTGACGGTATGTTTTGGGCGGTGGTAGTGNTGAAATAGGGTAATGATAAAGTAGGGAAAGTGAATTTTTCACATCCAATAATGATTGTCAAATACAGGCTTATTCTTGGACACTGGGTTGGGCCAGTCACTCTGGAGTGGATGGAGGATGGGCTTGACTTGGTTCAATGGACCTGCCCGGGCCCGGGCTGACTTCGTGTCAGAACAAATTTTGAAACTCAAAATATTAATCAAAACTTTTAAATTACAATTTCCGACTCCGCTGGGGATCGAACCCAGAATCTCTGGTTCCGTAGACCAGCGCCTTATCCATTGGGCCACGGAGTCTTCTTTATTCATGACGTTTATATATTTACTTAAGGACATTATGTATTTAAAAAAACATAAAGATTAACTTCATCAATCCTAGTTGGGTTTATATAAACACGTTTGCAGTGTGTTTATAATTTGTTCGTTTTCTCTATATAACTATATTGCGATACAAAAAGAAAATGTATTATTTAAGTTATAAAAACATAAAGATTAATTTCATCAATCCTAGTAGGGTTTATATGAACACGTTTGTAGCGTGTTTATAATTTGTTCGCTCTCTCTATATTGCGATATAAAAAGAGAACGTATTATTTAAATTATAAAAACATAAAGATTAATTTCATCAATTCAGGTAGGGTTTATATAAACATATTCGTGGTATAGTAATAATTTGTCTCCCCTCTCTATTGTTGCGATATAAAAAGAGAACATATCATTTGAATTATTATAATTTTGAAAATAATATTATTAGAAATGTAAAAAAAAAAATTGAAATTCTAAATTTTGAATTAACTAAACCCCTGTTTGATGACCATTATAAAGAAAAATTGGGAGAAAATGACATTTTGAATATTAATTTTTTGAAAAATGTGTGATTAAAAAGTAATGGAAAGATTTAAATTTACATACAGAATATTTTATTGTGTCAATTTTTGGTTGAAAATACGTATAAGAATTGAAGAGTTTTGAAATAAAAATTGTCAAAAATGAGCTAAATTCCCAAAAAATCTGATTTAAGAATTTTTGTTCTATTAATCACTTAATTTGATTGGTCCTAATTTTTATTTATTACTGATTTAATTGAGCCCATCTGATAAATGGATTTAAAATGAGATTTTTTTGTAAAGCCCAATTATAAGGCATGCATGCCCATCTACAATCGCTTGTCTGTTTGTCTTATTCAAACAGCAAAGGGGTACAAGCGGCTAGGGTTTTCTTCCTCGGCATTACGCTACAAATTGTGGGAGGCAAAAAGGGTGACAGATTCTTCACCCCTTGACACCAGTATATCTTGTATTGCAGGGATTTCTATTCAACTTCTTCTTCAACATATTTGGAAGGTAGTATCGGAATTTTTTTCGTGTAAAACCGGGCTTTATATGTTGAAATCGCACTCAGTCTGATTGTTGTGAATGATTTAATTTCAACTCCACTCCTTATAATTTATTTTTTTCCAGAAAATTGTTGTTTCTTGATGGTCGTAATCTTCCTCTAGCTACAGGGGTTTTATTCAACATTTGTCTTGAATTTTTTGATGCGGTTGTTTATGGTTTTCTCCTTGCCTTAAAAACTTGCCGTCCCTCAAGTGTAATAGGTGAAATACCCACGACCAAAATCCATTGGAGGCCGTTGCCCCGACTAGACCCCAGCAAGTTCCGACCCTGATTCCCGTTACTGTAGATGCAGTCACTTCCTGAGATAAAAATAGATTTTTTTTTATTTTTGAATTAGCGGTTTATTCCCTTTTTTTCTTATATTGATTTGTCACTTCGTCTTATATTTGAATTTTAAACTCTCTATTAGTTTTTCGGGAAAAGATTTATTGTGCTTTTTAAAGACACTAGATTATTATTAGATGGTCGGGATTTGGTTCCAATTTAAATTTGAAGTTAAAGAGTATTATTATTTGTAACTGCCTTTCTTTTATTTCTACTCACGGTGGAGGTGCTGTAATTTGCAGGAACAGGAGGTTTTTTAACACAAAGGTACAATGAGGTTAGAGAAATGCTGGTTCTGTTCTTCAACAGTGTATCCTGGGCACGGGATCCAGTTTGTTCGAAATGATGCAAAGGCAAGATTTATTTACTAGTTCTCTTGCTTCTGCCGTTTAAATTGTAAATATCTTTGCCTAACTATGGCTTGTCCTTACTAAAATTTGTCTTGGAACTCACAAATTTATTTTATGATTTGTTAAATAAAAGATTTTGAACTTTTGTAAATTAGAATGGTTGGAGCCCCAACCTGGATAAATTTTATGGTTTGAACTTAACATAGTAGCAAACTGCAATTTTACTGCAAGAGCATTTCAGTGATATTTAGTTAGTTATGAGTATGTAAGAATAATAATTCTACTACACTCTTCCTCCTTTATGCTGGGCTTGTGAATGTCTAAAATGTTATATTAATCTTTGGTAAATATTAGTCCAATTTGATTGGACAAAGTTTCGCTGCACTTGTATTTAAGTATTTTTTTTTTCTTTACATGTATTAGAATTATGCAATTTAACAATTTGAATGCACAATGTATCCTGGTAAGGCTGCTGATAAGAGCCTTTGTTAGATTTTCTGAAATTTGTTCCCAAGTGGATCTAAGTTGGTCACATCTTGTCGGGGTTTAATTTGAAAAGTAATAAGAGGCCTGGTTAGTCTGATCTTCTGTTATTTTTTATGGGAAGAATGATTTGGAGCAGGTTTCTAGTATGAATCATCATATGTGTAGCTGAGTTTTTGAGTTTTTGCAGAAAAGATAACCATGATAGTTTATTCAATTTAATTTGTAAATGCTATATAGGTGCATAAATTCTAGCAATTTGTTTTTCCAGGTCTTTCGATTTTGTCGATCTAAATGCCACAAAAACTTCAAGATGAAGAGAAACCCTCGCAAAGTTAAGTGGACCAAGGCTTACAGGCGGGTGAATGGAAAGGATATGACTCAGGTAGTTATTACTAGCAGCTTAACTTTTGACAGTTTTCTCTCCTCAACTAAATTTTTTCAAGCTCACATTTATTCTGGTTGCCATTTGCTCTTTTGCTGTTGAAATTAAATTGTGAAGGATTCGACATTTGAATTTGAGAGGAAACGGAATAGGCCAGAGAGATATGACAGGAATGTGGCAGAGGAGACTCTCAAGGCCATTAAGAAAATTGATAAAGTCAGAGTCGACAGGGATGCCCGACATCATGCAAAGAGGTTTTTTTTCTTTCCTGATGTGTCTTGATAGAGCGTATTTCGCTACCCTTAAAAAAATTAAAAGTTGCTTTTAAATCACTTTTTGTTTCCAAGCGTCTCTAGATAAGTTACTATTTTTTTTATTTTTTTTAAAAGTAAAAAAGATGTTTCTTATTTCAAAAATAATTTATCTTATTATTATCAAAATGAGTAACTTATTCCAACTTTAATCAAATAAAAATTATATATTTATATATAAGTGAATTTTTTAGGCTTAGCAAAGGATTTTCTAAGCCACATATCTTATTTGGATTCCGTTTTACATTTATTGACAACATTGGAAAATGAACAGAATGAAGGGAAAGAAGGCCCAGGTGCTAATGGAAGCTACAAAGGAACTGGAACAGAGCATCCACATGGTCAAAGCTCCTGCTGCTCTCCAAAAAGATCCCTCGCACACATTGCCAAAGGTCTCTCAGAAGCAAACAGTGGACCGGATGGTAGAATAGTTGTATCAACATTGCTTGTTTCTTTCACGCCTCTCTTTCTCGGGTTTTGGGGTTATTATGCCATGATTGTCTTTCATGTAAAATGTATTGGGATGGAACTTCTCTTATGGTCTGCCCTTTGGTTTAAGTTTCTAGGTGTGATGGTAAGTTAGAAATAGTTATGACCAAATTCAACTTATATGGACATGCATCGAAATTTTGATTTCACTGTTTAGTGATGCTGATGTGATTCATTCTCTTAATAATCGTGCTGGTGCGGATTTGTTTATGAATGAGCAGGTTTGGCTGATTTTTACCCTACCTTGCCCTGCCCCTGTGCACATTTCCTGCACAACCTTATTGCCCACCCTGATTTTTGTTTGATTTGTCAAAAATGGAGTCAATTATGATCAATNTCCTGCACAACCTTATTCCCCACCCTGATTATTGTTTGATTTGTCAAAAATGGAGTCAATTATGATCAATATGTGGGTTAATTGCTCTAGGCATAGTCATTCAACTATCTCAAACTCAAAGAAAGCAGGCCATATCAACACCAACAAACAACAAACTAAGATATTCCTGATAAATTTAGCCGGTTAAGCTCCATGCATTTATGAAAATTTGCTTCGAATTCAACTCAGCTCACTTTAGTGCAGAAGAGTTGAAAGGAAATGGGAAGATTTTTGGTAACTAAAGAAAACGACACTTGCATGAAAAATAAGCTCCCAAATTGTATCATTTGAGCAAAAATGGAAGTAATTTAGCTGTGAACTCCACATGATTTCGACGTTCTCCAAGAGAATTCAAATATTGGGATTTGTTGCTTCCATTATCTTCATCTAGTTGAATGGATCTGCTCGATCTTAGTTCTCTCCTCGTACTCCTCAATTTCTTTTTAAGTACCTCTCCTTGTCCTTTAAACTATGGTTTTTGTAAACCTAATAAAGTACATTAAGTTATATATTTTTAGAGTATGTTTGAGAATAATTATTCACAGATAAGTTTTTTTTTTCTAATGTTATCTAACACACTGCAATCTACCTTCCCTACGAGCCATGAAGTTAACGACATACATGAGATCTTTGATTAATGAACTTGCGATTCTCTCTTCGTGAGTGACATTGTTCCATGATTCTCCAATGGGTAATTAGCACATTAGTCCGTACTTTTTACTATTAGTGTGAAAAACATCATTACCTTTCGTTTTTTGGCATTTTCACCCTTATTTACACATTTCATTACGTAAAAGGTAATTTTTCTCAATTATAATATGTGAAATTACTAATATACCCTTCTATTTAAATAAAATAAAAGGAAAAAGAAAGAACATAATTGCAAACATAGTCCCAATTTTTTTAAAAAAAATGCAAACAAATCCTAAATAAATTATTAAAAGGGTATTTAGCACATAACATCCATACATTTCGCTATTATTGCGAAAAATGTCAGTACCCTTCATTTTTTGACATTTTACCCTTAATTACACATTTAATTACACAAACTATCATTTCTATCAATTTTCATTCAATTTCTCTAAATTTCTAATTTTTTAATAATTTATTTGAGACTCGTTTGCAATTAGTTCTTTAATTTTTTTTAAATTTAAATAGAAGAGTATATTCATCATTTCATAGCTTTTAATTGAGAAAATGGATGAAAATAACGTTTCGTGCAATGAAATGTGGTAAATAAAGATGAAAATACCAAAAAATGAAAGGTAAATACATTTTCTACAATAACATTTAAAAGTAAGTACCTTATGTGCTAATTACCATTCTCCAATCATCTCTGCGAACTCCCCCGTTTGGATAGAGAGATTTAAGCAATCGCCAAGGTTTGATTGAGGTGGTTAGGAATTCGGCATAGGAGGTTGTGCTGAATTAATATATCAAATAAAATAATACAAAAATACCATATTAATATTAAATTAATACAGGAAATCAGATATCCCAAGGTCTTAGTGCGCAGTTATGCAGCCCTTTTAATTATAAACTGCTTGGAAAATGACATGAATAAATTAATATTATTATTGCTGCAATATCAAATAATTCATCTGGTCACGGGCCCAACCTATAGGGGGCGCCAACCATGGGCCCTTTACAACCATTTTAATCATTTCATTTCAATTAGGTGGGTCCCACATGAGGGGCCCACCTATTTCTGGAGGGGTCCTGTGAAACCCCTCCTGTACACCAAGATTAATTTTTTCAATTAAGCCCTAATTATTCCACGTTGTAACGAGATGGATGGTAATTTTTTGAATAATATATGATTAAAAAATGAAAAGTTTATCGATGTATGCGCAATATTATTTTATTGGAGGATGTTTGATTGATAAATAGAGCAGGAAAAATGAATTATAATTTAATGATGGCCAAGCGAGACATAATTCGTATTATCTTAAAGTTGATTGTCACACAAGAAACCAAAATCTATCACATATCAACGTCTTGTCATGCTTTATCCCAAGCATACGAGGATAATTCAAAGAAAATTAAGCTTAGTTGATGGATGTTTTTAGGAATTTGCACTTATACATAAAAAAAAAATATACATAATAAATTACATAATATGACGTTGAGAGAAAATATTAGATGAAAGGGTCGTATTTGAAACTGATAAATAATAGAGTGACACGTAGTATTATATAACCCATTATATAAATCTTAATGTATATGTTGGAAGATCCATATTTTTAATGGTGGCCAAACGAGACATTATTCGTATTATCTTAAAGTTGATTGTCACACATGAAACCAAAATCTATCACATATCAACGTCTTGTCATGCTTTATCCCATGCATATGAGGATAATGCAAAGAAAATTAAGCTTTGTTGTTGGATATTTTTAGGAATTTGCTACTTATACATAAAATATATATATAGAGTGATACGTATTATTATATAATTCATTATATAAATCTTAATATATATGTAGCAAGGTCCATGTTTTTGACATCTCTGTTGATAAAAGATGTGTAAAAAAAAAAGATTGAATGTTGATTATCTACTTTTTAAACAGTCTATATGAAATTTTGTAGCGTGAATATTTTGACAACAAAGATTCATCTCAAGATTTCAGCGTAGCATGATTGGCAACTTTGTCATCTTATACGACGCCATTATTTTCTTTACCAAAGGAAAAAGCGATGGGGCCCATCTCGTCTCTAATTAATTTGTGTTGGGGCCATTTTGTTGAAAGTTTCGAAATGGGTCATTTCATCATAAAATTAGATATTTACACAATAAAAACCCCGAGGCTTCCAATTGAAATTTGGGGGAAAAAAAGAGGAAGAATAATAATAAGAAAATCATAGTGAATAATGACACCTATGTCATATTAAATTAAAGAGAAATACGTGAATCGATTATTTACGAGGAAATTGGAGATATAAGTAATGTTATAGCCTCGAGCTCCAACTCAAGGGTTTAACTAAAAACGTGTTAAGCAAGTTGCGTCACACATGGTATCAGAAATTTGGTATGGGTAGCTTGACTCGACAAAATAAGGCTAATAAGCCCTGTTTGGTTCTCGTTATTTGAAATTTTAATGGTTGGAATATTAATTTTTTTGAAAAATGTATTAAAAAAGAAGAAAAATTTTGAGATTACGGGTAATATTATTTTATTAGAGAATATTTAGTTGATAAGAAGAGAGATAAAAGTGAATTATAATTTTAATGAGAGCAGAACAGTGGCTAAACATTCTCATGACTTTAAGACAATTTTAGGATGTGTTTGAGCCACATTATTTTGGAAGAATATATTCTGGAATAGTAGATTGATGGAGAATTTATGGTTGAAAAAGAAGACAAAGTTATTGATGTGATGAAAAATACTATTTTATTGAAAAATGTGTGGTTGAAAATGAGTAGAAGAATGAAAATGATAATTTTAATGTGTACCAAACAGGGGCTTAAAACCAAAAATACACACACACACTCTTAAATATTCCTAAATTTCCAGGGGTTGAGTCGAGAGTTCAACTAACGGTTTATTTAATGATCGAAAAATTGCCCCAAGCCACTCTCAACCTAGAGTATATATTCGCTCGACTTCCATTTTTTTAGACTTCAGGAATAGTTACGAACTCAAATCAACTCATTTTACACTTTTAATCTTTTAAATATCTCGAATTAAAAAAATAAATAAATCTTTATGATAAACGTTTCTCTGTCGCATATCTTCTAAATTCTTGGATTAGGTTATAAAGATAAGTGCCATGTCCCTTTCAAGTAAATAGAAGAAGAGCGATGCGTAGTCCCATTCGATTGTAAATTCAATTTAGATAACGTTAGATAATTGACGTGTGAAATAAAATAAGTGATTTAATTTTACTTATAGTTTAATGGCGTATAAACCCTGCTGGGGCTAAGAGTTCAAACACGGGCTTAACCTGCCAAGGCCCAAGTATGACCAAAAGGGTCCCGCATCACATACGTGGCGTGGCAATTACAGCCATGTTTCAGTCTAATCTCTACAAAAAGGAAGATTCGAAGAATATTCTTTCCCGTCGTCATCTTCAATAATTTCTGCCCAAAATGGATAAGCCCACGCAACCCCACCCATTCAAAACCGCCCCCGGCTTAATGCATATTTCAAACATTTATATACTTGCACGGCTAGTCCCTATTATATCGTTTTATGCCCTCAATCTAAAAAGTTGATTAAAATTTAAGTTAAAATCAACAATTAAATTTCAATCGCACATTCATCAGATTCACAAATTTTAACTATATATTTCTTAAACTTTTATTAAAATTCAATGTTCTAAAAATAGGAACCTAGGTGCGAAGTGGGACCATAATGTCTTGACTCACAGTTTTTTTTCCTTTATTTATTTATTTTTTCCCTCATAGTCACGCTAGGTACGCCTTTTTACACTTTTACGCTATTACAGTATTAAAATAAAAATTTTAAAATAAAAAAAACACTTTTTTGTACTTTAATCTCGCCTAAGCTTGCCTAGACTGAAGTTTGACCTCCTACTTCGTCACGTTTTACGCTTTTTATAACACTGTTAAAATATACAAAAATTTGATTTTTTTTTTTCTAAATCAAAATTTTTTAAGCAGAAAGCATGATAATATTACACACTTTGAAAGATTGGGATCTGACTAGCTAATTCATCAATAGGTTGGGGAGCAATATTGCAATTTGCCCTATAAATACAATTCGCTTTAATTTCTCTTAACGCATTCCACAATGGCTTCCATCACTGCTCCTCCTTGCATACTCTCTCAATCTGAACAAGAAAATATCTTCAAAAAACTTCAAATCTTCAAAATTCAAGGCAAAGATAAACGAGGCTTCACTATCCTTCGCATAATCGGGAAAAACTTTCCAGGTATAATGAATTCATTCATTCTTGTTATCATCCCTCTACTTGTTGTTTGTATTAACATTTGCAGTCTAATTTGTTAACAGCGAGAGTTCTAAATGTTGATGCACTGAAGAAATACTTAGAGGATGAGATTTTCCCAAGTTTAGGCGAAACCCCATTTTCAGTGGTTTATATCAAAACTGGCGTGAGCAGAAGTGCCAACTTCCCAGACCTTTCAGCTTTGAGATCAATCTACAAAGCAATTCCAGTTAAAATTAGAGAGAANTTCATTCTTGTTATCATCCCTCTACTTGTTGTTTGTATTAACATTTGCAGTCTAATTTGTTAACAGCGAGAGTTCTAAATGTTGATGCACTGAAGAAATACTTAGAGGATGAGATTTTCCCAAGTTTAGGCGAAACCCCATTTTCAGTGGTTTATGTCAACACTGGTGTGAACAGAAGCGACAACTTCCCAGGCATTTCAGCTTTGAGATCAATCTACGAAGCAATTCCAGTTAAAATTAGAGAGAATCTGGACTCAATTTATTTCCTCCATCCTGGATTTCAGTCCCGCCTCTTCCTCGCGACGTTTGGCCGTCTCATCTTCCCTGGACCCGGAGGGTAAAGCTTAAGCTGTCATGTCAGATTTTTTAATTTCAAAGCAGTTTTTTAGGTCGAATTCATAATTGGAAAATTTTGCAGGTGGTATTGGAAGGTGAGGTATGTAAACAGGTTGGAATTTCTGTGGGAAAATGTGAGGAGAAAGGATATTGAGATACCTGAACATGTGTATGAAGAGGAAGAAGAAATGGAGTACCGTCCACCCACCATGGATTATGGGATGGAGAGTGATCACCCAAGGTTATATGGAGCTCCAATTCTTGATTGTACAGTTTCAACCTATTCAATGAGGGGTATTGCTTAGTGTAATGTTAGTTTTTCTATAGTTTTGTGAAGAAGAGAAGAGAGGGTGTATTGCACAAGGATGGATTGCTCTTTTCTTGATTTTCCATCAGTTTTATGCACATGTAAATACATATAATGCAAGCGATCGATTACATTATTAAAAACCCAAAACTGTGTCTTCCATGACATCACATTTCATTGTCTTTGGAAAAACAGCGAGTTGAGTGCAGGCCAGGCAATGAAGTTGATAAAATGCTTCAATTATAGACACCAGCACCAACGCAGTTCCTCATTAAGCTAAAGTGTGTTAATTTGAAATAATATAACCATAAGAAAGCATTGCACATGAACAGGATGTTACCAATGTCAGATAATCAATGCATGCACCAGCATATTTGCATATAAATTGGAAGAGATAATTTCCTAACGGTGCTTAAGGTCACAACAAATGTGGAGATATTCAAGCAATAAACTTAAATGTGGTATCTAACAAGATGGTAGATGATATTATGCGCTTCAGGATAAGTCCACAATATGATAAAATCTCCAGAATTTATTAAAATTGTGCTTGTCACATCACAGATTTCTCTATGAAAATTTGATTGTGTATTTGAGAAATTATATCAAGGTTCTAATAAATAGTTTCAAGTACATCAATAGGAAAACAAATAGTAAGCACACAAGGACAGACCATACTGCAAGGGTGGATAGAAGAATCAGCCTGTATGTTAACTTACTTGGCCACGACGACAGCTTCATCATGCTTCACATCAGTGTTTTGGCCATTGTCCACAACTTCATTGCATTTCGTATCGGTGCTCTGACCGTTGTTTAAACCGCGTAAATCGGGATAGTTACGATAGTTTAGAGAATGCAACCAGAGGGCTACAACTCCATCCTTGTGCTCTGTTGATGCAATATGAGGGTAGATATACTTCATTTTGAAGTCTTCTGCTTCCTCTGCATAAGCCTTCATGGATAATTCTTCATGGCTGTCTTTCCATTTCTGATTATATGAGGAAAAGAAGCATTCATCCAAGTATAATCCAACCTCAGGTGCCATTGGCACATTAATGTTCACATTCCTGATTTCAATAAACAAATAAGAAATAAAAATCTCGATCAAGAAAGAGGCTACAATGCAACAATCGAAGACAAAGTTTGCAAGTAAAACACATACTGTTCAAAAGCTGTTTCAATCAAAGATTCAGGAGAAATATTCCTCATAATTGCAACCGCAAGGCCAATCATTTTCCTTATCTGATGAAGCATGAAGCTTTGCCCAATCACCTCACACTTCACAAATTCAACGCCTTCTACGTTAACCATGTTGTTTGCATTAAACGAAATGATATATCTCTTTGCAGAGGGATCCTCAGCTGTTATTCTTGTAGTAAAATTATGAAAATTGTGCGTTCCTTCGTAGAACTTCAAAATTCTGTTAAATCTCTCTCTTTCCTGCTCTCCATAACAAAACTCGCTCCTTTTCTCTGGTTTAGCATTGCCATCCATGCTTCCACTGCTAACTTTATCTTCCTCAGTTTTATCACTTTGGGCAGCCCCATCATCCAATTCTTTCAAACTTTCAGTATTTAACTTCTTATCATCAGCTTCGTTGTTGCCATTTACATTTTCTGAAGTTTTAATAACAATCTTCTCTTCGCCATTTCCATTTTCTGAAGTTTTAATAAAAACCTTCTCTTCATTTTCCAATTCAAATAAAGCACTTCTGTCCAATGTAATGCTTGAATCAACGGGAACAGCTTCAAAATCGGATTTTGAATAAAAATTTCTTTTACCCATTACTCCAAAAACTTTACGGCCTCTTTCCGAACACTCCAAACATTTAACGAGCTCATTCTCAGACCCCAAACTAGCTAAAACACTCTCCCTATCTCGATGACAAGATGGATCAAGCGCAAAGACAGGTATCAAATAAACATACCTCCGCTTAACGCAGAACTTCTTAGCATTAAACGCCCCCGTAACACGTTTGAACCCAAATATCCGAATCTGAGGCGACAAAATTGAATTCAAACGCTCGATTAACCCAGGGGGTTCGACATAGAACCGTCCCGAAACCACTTGGCCAACGGCGCTGACGCCTTTATCTGTCCGAGCGGACCGGGCAAAGTCAAATCGTTTCGGAAGTCCCCTCTGCTGCTCGGGAACTGCACCCGAATGATAAAGGGCCTCCTCGAGGTCACCTTCGATGGTTTTAGCTCCAGGATTTTTTTGCATACCCTGGTATCCCACTCCGCAATAGGCGAAGAAAATTGCTATTTTGCGGCGCTTGTATCTGGGTTTTTTTGGAAGTACGGCACCTTCATCGGCTGCAGCGGAGGCATTGTCATAGTTTTCATCGTCGTCGGAAGTGGTGGACATTTTTAGCTTCTTGGGGTTCGGCCGTTCTTCTTCTTGCGGTTGAGGATCTACAGAAGGGTTTGGGTTTTCAATTTCCATTTTGAAGAGAGTAGAGTGTGTGAAAATGGAATGTTAGGATTGGCCATTACTGCGTAACTGTGTTGAGTTGGGGCTTACGCATCTCTATACCCCCCTAGAACCCTAGAATTAAAGAAATTCCAATCGGGTAGTTTAGGTCTGCCGGGGAGTTTTGGGCACCCGCTGTGGGATTTTTTAGAGTCCACATAAAAGGTTGAA